GATGGGGTGTGGTGGCTCATACTTGTAATCCCAGAACTTTGGGAGGCCAAGGCAAGAGGATCGCTTTAGCCCAGGAGTTTGAGGCTGCAATAAGCTATGATAGCTCCACTGTACTCCAGCCTGAGGGACACAGTGAGATCCTGTCTCTTAAAAAAAGATTTTAAAAAAAAGATCCAAACTGAACTTTTAGTGAACTTGAAGACATAACAATAGAAACCATTCAAAATGAAAAAGACAAAAAGAATTTAAAAGAAAAACACAAAAGTAGCAACAGTGAGTGGCAGGACAGTTTTATGTGACACTCATATCTCGTGTGCAAAGGGCTCCTTAAGCATATTTGATCTGTGGCTTTATCATTTTATCAAATTTGGAGATTTTTCAGTCATTATTTCTTCAAATATTTTTTCTGCCCTTCCCACAACCCCTCTCCTTTAGGGACTCTAGTTACACATATATTATAAGAAATATTGAAAGAAGTCTTCTAGGCAGAAGGAAAGTGAAATGAAAACCAGATGAAAATGAATAAACTGTACCAGAAATGATAACTAGTAAATACATTGGTAAATATATATACTTTAGTATTTAAATCTTTTGAAAATATGATTGTTTAATCAAGAGTAATACCAATGTACTATCGAATTCATAACATACATATAAGTGAATGTATGACAACAAAACCATAAAGACTATATAAGTGGAAAAGGGCAAATAGAAGTATATTATTTAAGCTTCTTATACTGTCAGTGAACCTGTATAATATGACTTGAAGATAGACTATGTCAAGTTAAAGATTTTAAACCCTACACCAACTATTAAAAGAACAAAACAAGGAGTTACAGCTAAAATCCAACAAAGAAGATAAAATGGAATCATAAAAAATTTCAATTAATTTTTAAAAAGGCAAAAATAGAGGAAAAGGGTAACACTGAATAATGTTACAAATAGAAAGCAAGTAGCAGGAGGAGATACTTAGACCTAACCACAGCAATAATCATATTAAGTATAAATGGCTTAAATGCCACAATAAAAAGTCAGAGATTGTCATATTGAATCAAAAAAAGACCTAATAAACACAAGAAATTCTCTTTAAATATAAATAGACAAACTGATTGAAACTAAAATGTTCAACAATGATACACTGTGCTAACCCTTCTCAAAAAAAGACTGGATGGCCGGGGGCAGTGGCTCACACCTGTAATCCCAGCAATTTGGGAGGCCAAGGCAGGCGGACGACTTGAGGTCAGGAGTTCAAGACCAGACTGGCCAACGTGGTGAAACCCCATCTCTACTAAAAATACAAATATTAGTCAGGTATGGTGGTGGTGCCTGTGATCCCAGCTACTTGGGAGGCTGAGGCAGGAGAATCACTTAAACCTGGGAGGCAGAGGCTGCAGTGAGACAAGATAATGCCACTGCACCCCAGCCTGGGTAACAGAGGGAGACTGTCTCAAAACAAAACAAAACAAAAGACTGAAGTGGCTATATTAATATCAGACAGAGTTGATTTCAGAGTAAAGAATATTTCCAGTGATAAAGAAGGAATTGGAAATGACTTTATGCACTCTTGTATTATTTGAAAAAAAATCAAATAATACAACATGTAGCCTATATAGGTACATGTATATTTGAACATGTCCCTATTTAGTAATTTAAATGTTCAATACACTTTTCTTTAGGCTACTCCCTATACCTAGCACTATGTAGGTATTTAAACAAAAAAAAGGATAAAGAAGTTGGACACGGCCCCAGACCCAGGGGAGCAAAATCTGTTAAGGAGACAAGACGCTAACTTTGTTTTTTAAGCTAATAAAAGATGTGTCAGATGTTAATTGAAAAATGGGAGTTCAGAGAAAAGAATATTTCTGGCATCAGAGCAATTAGGGAAAGTTTCTAGGAGAGAGCTAAACCCCAAGAGTATGCACAGATAAAGAGAAAGAGGGAAGAAGAAAAGCATTTTATAATAATTGGAAAATGTTTAATTTATGTGGCTGGATAGGATTTTACTTTGCTTTATTCCTCCTGCTTGAGCAGAGAGACCATTTTGGTCTCATTGCTTCCAGGCTTTATGGCTTTTGTGGAGAGTGGTTTGGGTGAATGCAGGGGAACTGCTCTGGTGAACGGGCCATGGCTGTGCAGGCGTTCCAGCAAACTACAGAGAAACAGCAAGGCCCTGGCCGCGTGGAAGCCTGCCTGTCTTGGCATCCGTGGAAAGATTGGTGTGTCTTAATGTGGGGCATAAAACAACACATTTTTTTACACCTCATCCCAGGACAATGACTAAGACCAAGACCAAGGTATTACCTCTGTACAGAGATGACAAAGATCAACTGGGCACCAACCACCACCTTGAGAGTGGGTCACCACACAAGCCCCACAAATTTCACCCACCTCCAGGGCAAGGGGGCCCTAAAAGAAATGGAATTACCCTGCTCCACCAGCTCAGAGGAATGAGGCCTGATGTAGATATGAAGCTGAATTACAGGTGATTTTTTAAAAACCTACACATCTGAGTGTTAGGGCTGAGATTTGTGTTCATAACACATATCAACAGCTCAATCATTAGAATCATTTTCTGATAATAAGATGATTACTCTTTCTTCTTTCTTAGGTACATTGAAGGAGGTCAGTTTGGAGAATCACAGTGTAGACACTTACTCTCTCTCCTTTCTGTTTCAGATAAACTCAGAGCAGGAAGACAGCAAAGAATAGCAGTGAAAAGCATAGTGCTTAATCCAACCCCTTACTCACTGCTGAGACCTGGAAATGACGTTCATCAGATACGAAACAGGAGCGATGATAACTCATTATGTTTGTGTGATGATAAACAGAGAAAATACATTGAAGAGCTTATATGAGTGGCAGACATGGGACATGCTTCCCAGTGGCTGGCCAGCCTGTCGCCTTCTCCATCATGTGTTCAGAGAAAAGCTCTGCACATCAACATCTCAATGAATGATGATGGCACCAGTGAAATCAGGGGAGGCAGGAAATCATGTTAATTTGGTTTATAATGCAAGAAGTTACAGAATACAGAGTCCTCAAAACTAAGAATGTGCTAGTTGTATAACAGGGTCCTTCTTGGGACTCAGCCAGGATTCAAACTGTAAAGGAAAATCGGGTGAGCAGGTGGGGTAGTCAAGTGATTCTATTTGCATGAATCAATTTGTGAGATGATACCTTCTTGTCCAGGAACATTGAGCAGTGCTCATGCTGGGTGGATTGTCATTTGGAAACCCTGGGAGATGTCATGCCTGACATCAGCCTTCTCGCAGGTGACAGCTGCACCCTCTAACGGCTTCTCAAGTGACAGAGCTCAATGAGTGTAGAAGGGAAAAGTATGAGGATGATCCACGAGCCCAGGGTGGACAGCCTCTGTGGTGGGCAGTGCATTAGCAAGGGAGAGACATTCTGTATCGTGCAGGTATGTGCAAGAACCAAAGAAAATAACTGTCATGAGAATTCTGACCTCATTAATACCCACAGACTGGAGGCACCAGGAATCTAAGCTTACAAAAGCATAAGGGAGCATAAGGGCTGTGTTCTCTTGCCCTTGGGGCGCAGCATTTCACCACACTTTGTATTAATTTAACCTTGATGCAGATCGAAGAGCCCCAGTGATTTCCCAATAAAATGCTCCAGTTGCATAAACTTGCTTGACCTTCAGTAGATGCTCATTCTCTATGGTCCACATCTACTGCAGGCTCACATTCTGGCCAGGGAGAATCTTCCGCGTGACTGAAGCAAGAGGTCCCACGTGATTTGCTTTTTGCCTGGCATGGAGGCACTGTTTGCCCTGGTGACAAAGGACACATAGCCCTGTCTTTCCTCTGGAGGCCATTGGATTCATACTCCATCCTGAGATAACTTTGTATTAATCAAGACCTCCTAACATATCTCTTTTATGAAAATGACAAGCATGCTGTGATGAGGTTCTCAAGGTCTGGTCCCAGGTTTCTCTCAACAAGCATGGGGACATGGCAGTGCCCACACTGCTTTCTTCTGTCCTGGCTCGGGTGCTCTGTTGAGACAGGTACAGCAGCCAAGTGAGTATATCTCTTGCAGTCCTGTAGCCTTACCCCTTTTCTTCTCTGTCTGTCCCATATCCTTCTCTTTTCTTTCCCCTCATCTCCATTCTTTTCTTTCTTTCCTGTCACTGTTTTCTTCTTTGCTTTTGTCCTGTTTCCTGCTTTCAAAACACATTTATAAAGAGAGCATCCTCTGAGTCAAAAGTAACAAAACTGTTTCACATTCTTTATCTGGTAGCAGGCTGCCGTCTAAAGGGCATTGGAAACACTTCACAGACCTTCCCTCCCTGAGGGAACTGCCTGATTCTCCGTTATAGAATGTCATTCGCTCTAATGAGTGCTGGAAAATAGCAACTAACATAAATTATAAAATATTAAAAATTATTGACACCAATAAACTGTCTTGTATTTGCAACATGAATGAATTGGGCTATCATCTTATAATTTTCAAGGACACAAAAAGCAAAAATAGCATACCTGATTAAATGATATTTTCCAATAATTTCTTAATTTAAAATAGTCAAGTAGGCAGGCAGTTTCCCAGCCTCCATTGCAGTTAGGTTGAGATCATGTGACTGAGTTCCAGCTGATGGAAAATAGGTGAAAATTGCATACTTCCAGATGTGGGATTTTTGTTTGTTTGGTTGGTTTTTGGTGTGTTTTTTTTTGGTTTTGAGTTTTTTTTGTTTTTTGTTTGTTCATTTGTTTGTTTTTGACAGTCTTGCTCTGTTGCCTAGGCTGGAGGCTGGAGGGCAGTGGCATGATCTCAGCTCACTACAAACTCCACCTCCCGGGTTCAAGCAATTCTCCTGCCTCAGGAACCCAAGTAGCTAAGACTGCAGGGGCACACCACCACGCCTGGCTAATTTTTGTATTTTTAGTAGAGATGGGGTTTCACCGTGTTGGCCAGCTGCTCTCGAACTCCTGACCTCAGGTGATCTGCCTGCCTCTGCTTCCTAAAGTGCTGGGATTATAGGCATGAGCCACTACGCCCAGCCCAAGGGTGATCTTTAAAAACATCTCTCACAGGCTCTTTTTACTCCATGGTACAATATGTAGGAGGATTGCCTAATCCATAATGCATTGTGTGCCAAACAATATATAATTTTAAATTGTGTTAATATCCTGAGATTTCAGGGTTTGTTGTTTGCAAAACAGTGTAACTTATCCTGACTCATACAACGGAAAATTATAAGTTAAGCATCTACTAAAGCTAATAAAAGTCTCAGAATAAAACAAAGAAATAAATCTTCATAATCTTGGATTTGGCACTGGATTCTTAGATATGACACTAAAAAGCAACAGCAGCAAAAGAAAAAAGTAGATAAATCAGACTTCATCTAATTTTTGTGTATCAAGGCTTATTATCAGGAAAGTGAAAAGACAACCTACAGACTGGGAGAAAATATGTTCAAATCAGATAATAAGATTTTAATATCTAGATTTCATTTACATTTGTTTTGTTTTTTCTTGCTATTTACTGATTGAAGAAATTGGATCTTTGAGGCCCAGCTGGGACTTGGGAATATAGAAAGAAATCCTTCAACTCAACAACAAAAAGAGAAACAACCCAATCAAAGAATTGTCAAAGGACTTGAATAGTCAACACTCCGAAGAAGATATATAAATGGGCAGTAAGCAGCTGAAGAGATGCTCAACATCACTAATGATTAGGAAAATGAAAATCAAAACCACAATGAGCTATCACTTCATACAGGTTAGGATGACTAAGGAAAAAAAAAATCACAAGTGTTGTCAAGAATGTGGAGAAATCAGAATGCTAGGATATTGTGGGTGGGAATGTAAGATGGTGCCACACTATGGAAAACAGTTTGGTGGTTCTTCAAAAAGCTAAACAGAATTACCATATAACTCAGCAATTCTACACCTAGGTATATACCCAAAAAATCTGAAAACAAGGACTCAAAGAGATACTTCTATGCCAGTGCTCATTGCAGCACTATTCACGATAGCCAAAAGGGGCAAACAAGCCAGGTGCCCATCAACAGATGAGTGGATAAATGAAGTGTTGTTTATGCCTACAGTGGGATATTTATTACTCGGCCATAAAAAGGAATGAAGCTCTGACACATGCAACAATGTGGATGAGGCTTGAAAACATTATGCTAAGTGAAATCAGCCAGACACAAAAGAACAAATACTGTAGATTCCACTTATATGAAATGTTCAGAATAGGACAATTCCTGAAAACAAAAAGTTAAGTTAAAGGTTGCTAGGGGCTGGGGGGAGGGGGAATAGAAAATTCTTACTTAATGAGTAGAGTTTCTGTTTGGGATGATGAAACAATCATAAATAAATAGTGGTGATGGTGCACAAGATTATGCAAGTAATTAATGGCACTAATTGTATACTTAAAATGGCTTAAATGGCAAATCATATACAGTATTATATATAGAGAGAGAAAGAGAGAGAGAGAGAGATTACTGCTCTAAAAAATGGGGAGGAAGTCTATCACTTAAATTTAAATTTGAAGTCACAGTTTGGATTCATTATGTATTTAATCTTTATATTTTATTTTTCTATTTCCTAGCTCTGGCTACTGAAAAGGCCAAATAACAAAAATTAACACAACAGCAATAAGCATCCTAGCCTAGTACCTAAGTTGTCTCTAAGTACCTTTTCCCCAGGAAAAAAAAAAAAAAAAAAACTAAGAACCCTTAAAGAAAGGTGCATTTCAAGATCTGAGCAGGAAATATATAGGACAATCCTGGAATATCTTGTTATAGAAAGAGAAAAGCCTCTTATGAGGTCCACTAGAACCATGCCAAATGAGTTCAGGAGGCACCTTGTTAATCTCCCATTTACCAAGGATGGGACCATTTGAATATCAATAAAAATAACTGCAACAATTTGAAGTACATAAAATATGTTTATTCCCATGAGTCCATAATAATACTTAAAAAAAAAAACTTCTTTGCCACACTTAAAGGATGCTAAGAAGCCAACTCATTATTTTGAAAACTAGAAAATGAAAAAGAATCAAACATTTTAATCCTGCTTTTCCTATACAAATGAGATGTCAAAATAACAAAAAATTTGTGAGGAAACTTTCTCTTTATTCCAGCTAATCTCTTTATTATTCCAGCTTTAAAAATGAAGATGAAAATGAAGAAAAGGAGAAGGAGAACGTGAACGTGGAGGAGGAGAAGGAGAAGAAGGGGGAGAGGGAAGGGGGAGAAGGAGAAGAGGAAGAGGAAGAGGAACAAGAAGAGGGAAAGGAACAAGAAGAAGAAGAACAGGAGGAGGAGGCAGAGGAGGAGGAGAGGAGGAGGAAAAGGAAGAAGAAGATGAAGAAGAAATATTGATAGGACAGACACAAACAAATGGCTGAATGGTGGCACCATTTCCTGAGGTGGGGCACACTAAGGCGAGAAGCAAGGCAGAGAGAAGGCATGAGTTCTGTTAAGGATTACATTCACCTGCTTCAGTTGTCGTTACAAAGGACCACAGATGGGCTGTTGGGGGAGTTGCTGAAACAGCAGAAATCTACTGTCTCACAGTCTTGAAGGCTGGATGTCCAAGATCAAGGTGTTGGCAGGGTTGGTTTCTCTAAGGCCTCTCTCCTTGGCTTGCAGATCACTGTCTTCTCCCTGTATACTCACATGGTCATCCCTCTGTGTGTGTCTATGTCCTCATCTCCTCTGCCTATAACACACCAGTCAGGTTGGATTAGAGTCCACTGGAAGGATCTCATTTTACCTTAATCACCTCTTTAAAGACCCTATCTCCAAATACATCACATTCTGAATTACTGAGGGTTAGGACTTCAAAATATGATTTGTTGTTGTTGTTGTTGGCGGTGGGGGGATGCACTTCAGCCCACAACAAGGACATGCTTCCTTTAAGATCCAAATGAAAATGTTTATCAGGCCATTGTACCATGAAGCCTAGAGCACAGAAGAGAGG